CTATAGTAGGTAGTAGGTAGTAAGTAGTTGTACATACTTATGTAGATGGTGTTTTTGTGAAGGAACCCTGACCGTTTTATCCCCCCCCCTCCACGGTTGGCCGTTCGCGATTGGCCGCCCCCCTCCCATCAGCACGACCAGAAAATTCCCCTTTCCCCATGCTCGGCACGCTCAGCTACCACAATGCACCGAATCGGTGGCCGCAGGTTCAGTTTTTGTCGTCGTCGTTAACCGACCACACACGGGGCGTTTCTCTCCCCCAATGCCGATCGAGACTGGAAAAGGACAGGCGAGAAAAAAACAAAACAAAAGCTCGGTAGGTAAACACTAGGAAAACCCATGCGCGTCTTTGCACTCGACAATAACAACAAAGAGACAAAAAAAAAGAAACAAATATTACCCCAACAAATCAAATATCAGTTGATAAAATCATGCAGGGCTATAGGTAGTTTCGTCATCTGATTCAATGAGTGAGGCGTTGCCATGTTTAGAGGATGTCGAGTTTTGTAGATGTATAGAGAGTTATTAGACTAATAAGGAGCACTTCAATTCCGAAGCAACAGCTCAATTGAGTCGCATTGATTGATACGTTAATTGATAGTCCTAACCTAATGTTTTACCTATCAGTTATAGTAATTAATCACGTGCCTTGTTGTATAGAACACAGTGCATACAGAGAGTGTCTAAACCTCAATCTAACATATGTAGGCTAGTCAACTTGACCAATGCATCGCAAACAGTGTGAAAACTAAATATTGTTGAATTCAAATTTATTCTAGCTAAAAAAAAATTGGCGGGGGAATTCATACGTGAGTATGTTCGAGAATCTGTCTAAGTATGTATGTACTGCGCTAGAAAGGAAGGGGGGCAAGTCCCAAAACAGAGCTCTTATAGGTAGGTTAGGTAGGTATAATCAAAAAGGAGTGAGTAAAAAAATAAAATAAAAAATAAAACCCAGCTTGAACCTCATAACCCCATTAACATAACCAAAAATCCGATTAAAAAACACGAGTTATATCCAAATCTCGGTGTGGGGGAAGGGAGGAGGAGGAGATACATATTAATAGAAAGCAGTGGCGAAAACCACCCCTCGCCCCTCCCCCCCTGCCCCCCCTTACCTAGTCTCCACCCATCAATCATCTCATCCCATCTCAGATCTTCTTCTGCCGGGGCATGAGATCGCGGCACTTCTCGCCCAGGCCCACCTCGGCGAGCCGGTAGCGCTCGGACGTGGTGTGGAACTTGACGAAGCCCATGATGTGGTCGTGCAGGGCGCGGGCGTAGGGCTCGCGCCCGCGCAGGACCAGCTGGATGCGGCGCACGCAGGCCACGTCCTCGGCGATGATGTCCTGCAGCGTGCTCAGCACGTCCTGCCCCGCGTACCCGGCCCGCACGTGGATGTAGTTGTCCTTCTCCCCCACTTTCTCTTCCTTGTAGAACCTGGAGAGAGAGGTTGTGTGTTAGTTAGTGCTGCTGCTACTGTGTAATGTAGATGTGGAAGGGAAGGAGGGGGGGAAGGGGGAGAGACTCACGATAATATGTCGTTGGTGAAGCAGAGGTACTTGCTCATATCTGCTATCGCCTCCATAAAGCAGGACATGTCCGGGTACAGATCCTTGGGGAACGAGAGCAACGTGAAGGCCTCTGCGATGCCGGTCTTATCGCGCAGGTACCAGGGCCAGCTCTCGCCGCCGGCGGTGGGCGTCATTTTCAGCACCTCTGACCCTTCGAGGACGTTGGCGTTGGTGAAGTTGAGGGACGAAGTGATGATGAAGTTGGCCACGGTGGGCGAGTAAAACTTGTACGACAGCCGTAATATGTCGGCCCACGCTTGAGCCAGGGGCGAGTGGTGCTTGAGACCGGCGTGGAATCGATGTATGAAGTACTGCCATTCCTCCGGGTCCTCGCTGGCCGCGTCGTCTATCATTATCGCGATCCACGTAAAGATACCAGTAAAGATCCGGGCATCGAGCGGATGTCCCGGGTAGCAGAACTAGGAGGGCATAGTTAGCGTTGAGGCCATCCACACAATGTTTCAAGTATCGATGCTCACTCACCCGAGAGTAGTATAGTGCGGCCTTGAAGCAATGCCATGACTGTGATCCTTCAGGGTATGGAATCCCTATAATGGCTGCCTCCTCATGCATACCCTGTACAAGTCTGTCGACATCGTCGTCACAGCTCGAATCCACCCCGTTGTATTTTATTAGGTTCTTGAACTGTTTCATCACCGGCCTGAGAATGCGCTCGACTTCATCAGAGCTCCTCGGAGCGACTGAGTCGAGTAGTACGGAAGGCATTGTAGTTGTTGTGATGGTTGATATGATAATAGTTAATATGGTTGTTGTGAGAGTTGTTAGATGAGATAGATGAGATAGAAGCCAAGGGGAAAGATGGTATGAGAACTATTGATGATGGTCAAGAAGGGTATGAATATGAAGGGTATGAATAGGGGTTCACTTTTATATATTCGAGTTTCGGTACGATGTACACGGTGAAGTCTGGATGAAACGGATTTCGACTGTTATACTGCTCTGTGTAACAAGGCCTCGTTGAACTCACTCCTTGTCGTCGGATCCTTCCAAAGTAGTCTGAAACTAGCTATATGGAGGTGTAATGCCTGGAATAGACATTGTCAGTTACCAGCACCGTGGCACAGCGGGCCGATTGGCTCGCGTCAACATCCATTGTCCAGAAAAGGACGACATCAGAATAAGCCCCCATATTAGTCTATCGGCCTTCCCTGTCGCCTGTGTGTACCGAGTCCATTCCGAGAATTGTGCCGCCTTGTTCGGTAGCTGGCCTCAGATTCTTAAATTTCCATAGCGGTCTGGCCTGGGTAATCCGCAAGTCTGTCATGGGCCAGCTGACTAGAAAGGTGCGGTCAGCTAACGTGCTGCTGATACACTTACGGGACCTGGGAAATTTGACTAAGCCACACGCTTTATGGCCAATTGAATCTGTTATGAGTCACTTGAAGATGAATATAAACACAAATTGCTAAGAAACTCTCACCAGAATTCCTTATTGAGGAATCTCGTCATCACGTATCACGGCTCTGCCCTGAATATACCCCCATCGACTTCTCTCATCTTAGCTGTACCCGCAATAGTTCTCGAAATATCTTCTTTTTTTATCATGTGTATTCGCAGATAACATCAGCTTAACTACGTTCTGTGATGTGTAGTTTAAAAACTCCGGGTTGCCTCGGACATATCAGGGTTTTCATGGTCGTGGCGATGTTTCTAATGCTTAAGAGTGTTAGAAGTTTGGGAAACATCAATACCTTAAAATGCCAATATGGTGGAGTAATTTCTATACAATGTCCTGGATTCAGTTTTTCGACAAAAAGACATCAAGGACAATTATTTAGTATTTTGTGATTGGATATGAACCAAGCTGATGGCCCCGGGTCTGACAAGTGTATTGTTTCCAATTTTATCACTATCTTGTAAGAATAACTTTAAGTACCTAGGCAAGTATACAATAACCCCTGGTAGATCCCCACAACTAGAGTGGCGGCTACAGCAGGGAATATAATAACAATAACTCCATAAGGCTTGAACCAGGAAGAATGGCGCCGCTGACGATATGCGGCTCTCGGGGTTGACTATTCATTGCTCCGCATGTGGATCGTGACTTAGGAGGTGGATCTTCGGCTACCCTGGAATTGAGGCTTTCACTCTGATATGTCTAGGCATATCGTATGCATGGAACTTCCATATGGAAATTTCCAACACTCAATGGCTGTGGAATGATTTCCGCCATTTGGTCACAACCCTGTTGGATCAGAACCTTTCTTCCGCGGTCAACCATCGACGAGAACACCCACGCACGCCTCGAAGTATTGCGTGGGGTTACCTCGCCCTAAGAACACCGAAAATCCAGGTATCACCCTGATTACCCAGCCTAACAAACGGTTGGTGCTGGCGCTGATTACCTGCAGATGAGTTCCCATATCTCTGACTAATAGTCGCAAACTTATACGCAAAACGCCGTGACGCCGTTTTGAAAGCAGCTGGAGAGTGTTACATAGTCCGCTAAGCCTCAGGACGGAGGAAGCGAGGCCCCCCCCTTGCTTCTTGGCAACATCATCTTGCTCAGCCACAGAGCCGCAAAAGAAGAGAGAGAGAAAGAAACAAAGAAAGAAGAAAAAAGGGAGGAAAACAGCTACAGCTACTTCTTACTTCTTCGACGACAGGGCGCGGTCCGGTTTGATTCGGTACAGTCTGACACCACCTTAACACCCCAAGTATTTCCAGCCTAATTATTCCAACCCGGCGCAGCGGACCATCAATTAGTCGATACATACGTGCTTATAAATACCATGCATTAGCCTAGCTTTTGTCTCCAAATTTACTTCTTATAAACCAGACAGACGGAAAAGCCAGCCCGCCTTCAAGCTTCAGCAAGCCATGTTTTCTTTTAACGACATCATTGTATGACCTTGTTCATGATACATTGCAAGGTTTTTTTTTTCTTCTTCTCTGCCAGCTATAGCTCGTAAACTCGAGTTCAGCAAGTCCGTTTTGCCACCTGAAACCAAATGATAAGTTTGGAGATTTCGAATCCCCTATTTTCCCCCCGCCCCCGGATATCGAGACATGCATCCGCCCGCAGACAATGACAAGCTGATGATGATGATGATGATTTCGTTAACGTCCAAGGGACGGAATCTATCTACCTAAGTACATATATATTCCATCTACGCATCAATGGCGCGTGGGACGTCTGGAGTACCTCTTAATTAAGAGACAGAGCCAGAGCTTCGCGTGACATAGGAAATCCTCCACAACCTGCCGGTGCATTACCCACAAAATTCGGTCAGAATTAGCCAGTTAGCGGTCAGCCCTGACTCAATTCCGAGAAAGAGAGGCAAGTAGCTTAGTATTAAGGTGGCAAGGCTTAATACTATAACTACACTGGTATTAAGGTGACAAGGCTTAATACCAGAAAGGTCGCGTGCTTGTTGTCGACTAGCACAAGCCGGGGAGGTCGGGCGACCACAGTGGGATTCGAACCCACGCACCATTAGTTTCCCACACTAATGTGAACCAGGCGTTGACCATTGCGCCATGTGGCCCAATGACAAGCTGATCCCGGGTTGAAGTGCAGAAACACATGATAGAGAGCTCCCCATCTCCGCTCCACTATAGAGAGTATGGAACAGCAAGAAAAGGCCTCCCAGACATAACATAGGGCTAGCTACAGTCTTGAGATAGTTTAGCTGAGTTTTCGGTGAATTCTCTTCAGAAGTGGTCATATTGTCAAAGAGAGTCTTTTTCAAACCAGCTGTTTCAATAGCCTCTGAATATCAATCAATAGACTATCGATGCAGGTAGTATAATCAAACCCCAACTACCTACATACCTAAGTAGACTACTATCTATTCTCGACGGTGCACGCAGCATCAAAGAGATGGAAAGGTACAAAAGAAAAAAAAGGAAAACAACGAGCCTCAACGAATTGGGTCCATTCAATTTCACCAAGCCAAGCAGAAATATAGCATTTCCATTGATACTCGTACAATCATAAATATTTGATTACTGATCCCAATACCGTTAGAACTGGCGTAGTCCGTATAGTCGTCCCTAGAGCGCGGGTGTGTGTGTGTGTGTATTTTTTTTTCTTCCCCTGGGGTTCATCCCACTCCCTTTACTGCTGCTGGGGAGCGACCTCCTTCAGGCGGCACACGAGTGGCTTGCGGTCCCAGATGATGTACACGTCCTGGTCGAGCCAGTCGGGGCCCTCGTCGGTGTCGATGTCGAAGTTGAACAGCATCTTGGCCAGCAGCAGCCTCATCTCGTGCCACGCCATGTTCATGCCGAGGCAGTTCCGCGGTCCGACGTTGAACGGCTGGTGCGCCTCGCGGTTGTCATCCTTGTACTCGGGATCGCCAAGCCAGCGCTCAGGTGCGAATTTGTCGGGGTTCCTAGTTTTTGTTTTTCGCAGTTACACGCGTGATTAGCCAATGCTCGTATCTGTGCGCGCGCCTTGTGTGCGCCGCTCGTGATGTGATATTGTGATAGTGGGTGGGGGTTGGAGACGGGGGGAGGAGGGGCCACCGCCTGTGTGGGAGTGTGGGCGTGTGGGCGTGAATAGATTCTGTTTTCTTTTGTTTCAGGGTATGTAAACTCACCTGAAATTGGCCGGAGAGCGATACGTCGCGTTGTGGTGGACGCTTACTCGTGTCCCTGCAGGAAGCCACTTGCCCAGGACATAGTTACCACCCTCGGCTATTTCACGAGGCACGTTCGTGGGAACCGGTGGGTAGACCCGCAATCCTTCGCGGATACCTGATAGCCATGGGAAATTAGCAAGATCCGGGACATGATCGGTGGACGAGGAGTTGGGTTAGACTAGGTACTAGCTTACATGCGTTGAGGTAGGGCATGCCAGCCAGAGCCTCAAAAGTAATCTCCCCGTTGCTCTTGAACTTGCCGCGGATCTCGTCTACGAGGATCTTGAGTTTGTCCGGGTTCTTCAGCAGGTAATATGTCAAGCCCGTGAGTAGGGAGGCTGAAAATAGTCTACTTAGCAATGCTGCTCCATCGAGGCTAGAGAACGAGTCTCAACTTACCCGTCGTCTCTGTGCCAGCTGACATGAACAGCTCCGCATTGATGTGCATGTCTCCCAAGGTGAGTTGATTAGAGTCAATAACGAATTTCCACAAATCCTGCTTATCCGAGCCCTCCTTAAGGCGTCTGTCCACACGAGTCGTAGTGTAATGGAAGTGGTCTAATCGCCTCTTGGCAATTGACTTTGGTTCCAAGAGACTGTATAGCTGCCTGGTCAAGGGATAGAACTCAATGAATTGGAGCCAGGGGAGTAACTGTCCATATTAGTCAAGATGTAATGTAATAGAGACGACAGCCGGATTCTTACGCTAATGGACCCAAAGATTGTAGAGACCCATGACGTATCTTCACCCTCGAGCAGACCAAGTGATTTTCCAAACGCCAGATCACCCATGACATCGAATGTCGTAAAGTTGTACAACTGCGTCATGTTGACTGTCTTCTTCTCCCGAGCTTTGGTGATCATCGTGTCGGCATAACCTTGAAAAAGCGACTCCTGGGCCTTCAAGGCTTTCTCCGAGAATGCTGGAGAGAATACGCGTCGAACCGCAGCATGTCGCTCACGGTCGTTGAGAATCAAGACACTTGGAATGCCATTCGCTGACGGGGCATGATATCTGAGTTCCTTTGGGTTTTCCTTGCCGCCCTTCGGTACGGTATGGATGTCTTTCCAGGCACGCCCGTCGGTGTAGCTCAAGTCATCGGGTGCCAACCTGACAACGGATCCGTATTTCTTGTGCAAGTTGGTCATCCATCGGACCTGATTACCCGTAAGACAAGCGATCCAATACGGAATTCTACTGATAGCCGATAACTTCGGCCCCGGATAAGTGTGAAGTGGGTGGAAGTAGAGGGAGTAGAGGGACCAGGAAGTAAAGTAGATGAGAATGACGGCCACTGCCGCAGTAAAAGCTGTGACTCCAGGCACTGCCCTCTCTTTGGCAAGCCAAAGAGGCACTTGAGCCATACCCACGACTGTAAACATGATTTCAGACGACGGGGGAGATCGAAGATGGGGATGGTCAAGTATTAGTTTCAAGCTAAAGTCCAGTAGGTCGTGGGAGTCTTATATATATATATATGTATAGGGTCGAACAATATTTCTCTAGCCGGGGACTGTGTACCCCCTCCCTTCCCTCAGTATCTTACAGCTCTATTGGGACGCCACGTATCAAGGCGAACATTATTCATACAAAATTGATGTGCTTTTTGTGCTTGGGTTAAGCGATAACCGCTTCACGAAGGATTTACCAGGATCCTTTTTTGCGGTCCCCGCCGGAGAGGTGATTGTATCTGGCAATATTCCTTCAGTCACTATAGTGTTCTACTGTGGGTAAGAATAGTAACCTACACGACACCCAAAGAAACCTTGCGCTCACAAATAAAAGGTTCGTCATTCGTCACTCTCTAAGAACGGCACTTTTGGCTAGTTCTCACTCTATTCGCTGCTCCCTCAACTGGAGACGCACGGTTCCGTATATCAGACTAGGTAACACATAATTGTACATGGTTAGTTGCTATCTCCAACATGTTCATCTTTTTCTCTCCTGGCGATATCATGCCATACCGAAGTAAATAACGCATGATATCAATAGTACATCCCACGTATTATGGAGTAGTATGCTCGAGGTCTCTTGGGTAGCATTTAAGTTCTCCATGGCACGCCATTTCTGGTTCTATGCCCCCCTCCCCATAACTTACTCGTCATCTCAAAAGAAGGGAAGGGCGTAAGAGAGGTTGCGGGGCCCAGACCTAGGTAGGCAGGCCCTGTGATTGATAATGCATCCCGGGTATCTTATATTGGGCCACCTGAGAGGGCTGCATTCCACAGTACGCTATGTAGTAGGAATCTGCCCCTCAGCGAAGATCGCGTTGTGAAGCCATTGGCGAAGGATTGTTATCGGACGTTGACGTTCATCGGATATAAGGAATGCAGAATAAATGGGGAGAATACCACCTTGCACGCCGATAAAAGGCGTTAATCAATTGTGGATGAGGCTCCCCACGACAGGGCTGGTGATCCCCACTACCAGGATAACACGGATCGTGATTCTCGGCTAAGTGGACTCATTACTAGCGGTTAGAGAACATCTACCTACCTAGTGTACATATATTCTCCTTTAGGTTGGTTATCCGGGGGTGAGAAGCCACCTAAAATCCAAGTTGTTTAGTACTAAGGTTAGTAACCTGCACTCCGCAATGTGGCTGTCTGTGCGTATTATTAGATTGAGGACATTCTGGGGCATAAGTATTGACATAGGCTCACGGCAACGCATTAGTTAGGTCAAACCCTGAGAATAATGAGTTTTATTATATATAGAAACGTAGGAGTACCGGTATGTTTTGATTGATTGACGGATGGAGAATCAATATAGGCCTATATTATCTGACATCATATATAGGGACTCTTAATATAAGTTTCCCTGTTGCAACAACTTTTTCAGTAAGTACCTGGGACTGCATGTGGCAACTTTGGATTTGTCCTTTATGAAATTATATGTATAGATGACACCGCGGTGGAACCCCAAGAGATGTCCATCACTCATTAATACATGCAGGCAGACGTTCAAAATAATCGGTAACATCCACCACCATCATTTAATAACTCATAAAGTTCATTTTTCTAATTGAGACAAAGAGAAACAAAAGATCTTAATTAGTCTAATCTAGTTGTAAAGGATAGGTTACTATGTTATGTGGTTATCGTGCTGCTATTATGTTAGCATGGTTGAGGGCATTGCCGACTGGATGGATGGCGTGGATACAACCTGTTTTGTGACGTCTACCCTCCCCGGATACCTACGTATCTATATTACCCATTCTCGGGGTTCCTTTTTTTCCTTTTTCTTCTCTCCGTTTTTAATCCCCCCAAAACAAAAACAATCCCCGAGGGAAAATCCTCAGACCTTAGCATAGGAGCAAAACTTCAAGGCTCTTGTTTTTTGCCTTGGCCGGGATTCCAATACTTGATTTTATAGCTGAGACAAAAGCAAACACTAATTGCCCGTCTGACAGTTAACCCGTATAGTATATGGTATGCGATGATATATGGTACAGAATAATAAGGTATATATATCTATTATTTATATTTATATCTACCTATGGTTCTGCCCACGTATGAGAGTCTCTCCTGGACTAATACGCTCTGTCCTGTTCTCTCCCACTAGTCTCGTAGCACCATTAACAAAACTAATAGAAATGCGCATAACTCATACAAAAACTCCAATTGAGGAATTGTCGCATTTATATATGGTAGTGACTTAGGAACACATAAAAGAGCCAAAGGATGGCAAATAGGTATGGCTTTAATTATTAAAAACAGCGAAAAGGTGGTGTGCGTGCCGCTAGGATCAGCTAACTACAGTGGTTCAGCCGGGAAATGATAATCCTGGGGGTCAGTCGTATGCACCTTGAATAGTCTGTGGCATCATTAATGCCACAAAACATGTATTGAAAGTGTAAGTGATCCTTATGGGAGGGATAGAAAAGTCTCTTTTAGGTATG